GGGAGTACAAGGATCGAGTGTTCAGCGTTCAGCTCGTCCGTACGGAAAGGGCGCGGGGCGGGGAGGGGCCTCCAGCAGCTGTTGGCAAAGCCCCAGCGCAGCGCCGCGGCGGGGCCGCAGGGCCGCATACACGGCAAAGATACAAGTTCCCTAAACACCACCATCAGTTTAGTCGTGTTATGCAAATCTGGTTCCATGGCGGAGATAAATGCCGTGTCGAGTTGCGTGCTGCGAAGCTAGGCCATTCGGATAGCGCAAGCTTTGATAAGAACGGTCCGTAAGAAAACACGGTAGGACACACGTAAAAATGAAACAAAATAGGAGAGAAATTCGTTGTTTTTTCGCCCTTTTTCAGAGGTGGACAGAGACATCAGGCGCTCCTGCTTCGGCCACTGGGTGCACTGCAGTGCCGAAGGGAGTGGGAAGGGGCGGGGGCTGCGGGGAGCGGGGAAAGAGTTGTAAACAGTTTACGATTGGAACTAGGCCGGAATAGAAAGCATTCGGAGGGGGGTATTGGGGGGGGGTCGCGATTTCACCAGTGGGTAAGACAAATGTTGAGCCAAAACATCAAAATAAGAATAGTCCCAGAACGCTGTGGGACGGCCATGGCATGGCGCCCGCGCCCGCCTGGCTCGCGTAGGCACCACGGCGACACCTCGGCCAGGAGGGTTGCCTACGCGCCAGGCGGCTCGAGGGGGCGCCGTGCACTGCCATAGTGTCTGTTCTCCAAACCACCCCCTCCAACCCCCCGCCCCCCTAAGTCGGGGGGTCGAAAAAGCTGCGCTCCCCCGGCCCGACCCCGCGCTGTTGCTGAACCAGCAAAGATGGCGGCTCTGGTGCGCTCTGGTGCGCTGGCTGCGACGGCTACCTGGTCGTAGATGTTGTTGTTGTTGTGCTGCAGGCGCGGGGCGGCGCTGAGCGTGCGCCGGGCGTGCTGGCGCTGCAGGTACAGGTCGTTGTCGTTGAGCACGGGCAGCGGCGGCAGCGGCAGCTCCACGGCCGTGTCCTGCTCGTCCAGGTCGGCGGCCAGCAGGCTGCCCACGCGGTGGTGCTGGCTGCGCCGCGACACGCGCTCGTTGCGCCGCGTCTTGGACGTCTTCTCGTCGACGGCGTCCTGGTTGTTGTTGTTAATGTTGATGTTGTGGCGCATGTTGTCGACGGGGTCCTCGCTGGCGCTGCGGCGGCCGCGGTGGCGGTGGCGATGGTGCCTGCCCGCCTTGGGCACGGGCAGCAGCGACTGGGCCGAGGCCGCCGAGGCCATGCTGCCGCACGACGGGGTCCTGGAGGCCTCACACGGAGAACGGCGCCAACGGCACGACGACGACGGACCGAGACGGCGCTGCTGCCGCCATGGCGGCTGGCTGACTGAGCGTCGCAGGGCCTCGCCCCACACCACCCCCGCCCCGCCCCGCCGTGGAGGCCTCCGCTCGGCCCCGTGCGGATCGATACCCTGCTCCTGCCTGGCCCGGGCCGCGTCCGGGGCGCCACCCGCCCGCCCGCCTCCGCCCCTGCTGCCGCAGGGCTGCCGTAGGGCTGCCACCCCTTACGCCCGCCTGCCTCGGACGCGGCCAGCGTTTGGCCATCCCGGCCCCGCCCGGCCAGCAGCAGAGGCCTCGCCAGGCCCGGCGACCCTGTGGGGGCCCTGCGGCCTGTGGCGGGCGCTGTGGGGGACCAAGCCCGCGACCCAGCCCCAGCCCCAGCCGCGGCCCGCAGCGGGCGCAGCGGCATAACAGCTGAGTGGTCCAGGAGGGCCCCGCGGCCCCGTAGGCCGGCGCTCCCCGATGGCGGGTCCAGCGGGGCGCGACGGCGTGGCCGACGGGTCGGAGACACAGGGTGCCGCTGCCAGGGGTTCTTCCACCCGCGCGGCCCACCTGAGTCGCAACTTGCAGCAGGCGAACCCTTTTGACGCTTTCCCCTTGATTTGCGCGATGCAAAGACAAGTGAACGCGCTGCGTCACGACGACGACCCGCCGGGCAAACAAATCTACTAGTCACTTCCTAGCAAATAGATGATCAGCCCTCGCCCCCCCCCTCCCCTCCCCGCGTTTTTGGTTCAATATTTTGTTGAAAAAACGTATATCCTCTTGTATTTGTGAATTCAAAATATTTTAAAGTAAAGCATCTGTGCCGTAGAGTTGCGATACGCGAAACAGGCTCTATAATATCACATTTGAGCTAAAATACAGAGTTTTCATCAGAGCGTCGAAAATGCTGATAAACAAATAAACTTTATTTATTCAAATATATTTTCAAAAATTACATTACATACGTAACAAGAACCAAAACAGATGACAATAATTATCACAAAATGAAACAAAATTCTTTAAACTGTAAGTTTTCTGAAAACAGAACCAGCAAACACCAAAAACTAAAAACCAAAACCATTCGAAATAACGAAGCAAATGATTACTCTATTTGCTTATCACAGGAAAATAAACCAAAACTTCATTCTTTTTAAATGATTGACAAATATTTGTTTCTCCTCCCTAAGATATTGCAAATAGGTTCAAATATTCCCCGATCGAGACAACTTTCTCTAGTGGTCGGAGCATTCTGTTTGCTTCTCGCTCGCGTGGGTTCGCACATGCCTTGTCAGAACTCCAGATTGAGTGAATCTCATGTGGCACACTTTGCACTCAAATGGTTTTTCTCCGGTGTGGATGCGCAGATGAGTCCGTAGCGCTCCCGTTGTAGTGAATTTCAAGTGGCACACGGTACACTCATAAGGCTTTTCTCCTGTGTGGGTTCGCGAATGTACCCGAAGTGAGGTAGAGACAGAGAACTGCTTGTGACAAACGGGGCACGCAAATGGTTTCTCTCCTGAGTGGGTTCGCAAATGGATCTTTAGCTCGCCGGATGTTGAGAACTGCTTGTGACATTCGTTGCACTCGAATGGCTTCTCTCTTTCTCGTGAGTGAATTTGCAAGTGATTCTGTAGACCATGAAGTTGGGAAAACTTTTTATGACACACATTGCACTCGTGTGGCTTCTCTCCCGTGTGGGTTTGCATATGCAATTTCAAAACAGAACCTCGGCAGTACCTTTTATTACAAATGGTGCACTCAAACGGTTTTGCTCCTGTATGGGTTAGCTCATGCTTCCGCAGATCGCCTGAGCCACAGAACCTCTTCGGACACAAGGAACAAGCGAATGGTTTTTCCCCTGTATGAGTCCGCATGTGCACTAGCATGTTACCGTGTAGAGAGAATTTCTTCTGGCACACGGTGCAGTCGTAAGGTTTCTCTCCTGCGTGGGTTCGCAGATGCTTTCTTAAACTTCCCTTATCAATCATTTTGTCGCAAATAGTGCACTCGATTAGTTCCTTCACCGAGTGAGTTCGCAGATGACTACGCAGACAAGAGTCATTGGCAAACTTTTTCAGACAGACTGAACACTCATATTTTTTTTCTCCGGTGTGTGATTGAGCATGTCTCCACAGATTAGGCCACTGTGAGTACTTCTTCGGGCACAACGAGCATTGGAAAGGCTTTTCTCCAGTATGGGTTCGTAGATGCACCTGCCGTGCGCTAGAAGTGGAAAATCTCTTGTAGCATACGGCACACTCAAAAGGTTTCTCTCCTGTGTGGCGCCGCAAATGTCTTTTCAGAGCCTCCGCTGTTGCGAACGACTCGTTACACACGTCACACTTGAATAGTTTCTCACCTGTGTGTAAAATCTGGTGCCTTTGGAGGGTGCCCGATTGTGAAAATGTTTTGTCGCACACACTGCACCTAAATGGTTTATCTCCTGTGTGGACTCGCACATGAACTCGCAGGTTTGCGGAACTACAGAATGTCTTTAAGCACAAAGAGCACTCAAAGTGCAATTTTTCTCGCATTTTCTCTGAGTGTGTTCGCAAATGAGACTGCAGCTTGCTTGATGTTGAGAATACCTTGCGACAAACACTGCACTTATGGGGGTTGTTGTTGTTTCCTGCGTGGACCTTCTCTTTGTTGGCTTGGCAGCCCGCCGCAGGGGAGCATCTTCTCCCACAAACTTGGCACTTGTCGGGCATCGCAATGGCCTGTATGAAGCTGACAGTGGGGTAGTTCGATTTGCTGGAAAGAAAGAATAACTCATATTAGCGATTTGCCTGTGGCCATCAGAGAAGGAGAAAGGTGAGTAGCGCCCGGCCCCTTGTATTTATGTGAGACGGTTAACTTCTTCCTTTCTTTTCAATTTCTGGTAAGGACAATAACAGCCGAAATAAGAACGGTTATGGTTGAGCATGGTTGACCGTTTGGAATATGTACCCGAAAATGTTATCAAAAACTCGAGAGAGGACAAGAGGGGTCGAACGGCTAAGGGGAAAGCAATTGGAGGTCACTTGGCAGGTACATGCTGCAGCAGAAGCCGGCAGTCATCGTGACATGGCTGGGAGGGGCCCC